TGCGGGCATAAATCTCATGCCCCTTTCTATTTATCGGCGACTTGGGCTCGGCGGGTTGAAGCCCACCAGAAGGCGCCTACAGCTCGCCGACCGCTCGCTCCATAGACCCGAAGGAATTGTGGAGGATGTACTTGTTCGAGTTGGGAAGATGATTGTGCCTATTGACTTCGTCGTGCTAGATATGAGAGAAGTGCAAGAGAATGAGAAGATTCATACCATTCTCCTCGAGCCACCGTTCATGGCGACCACGAACATGATGATTTACGTCAAGAGTGGGACGCTGAACATGACGGAGTTGGGCAAGTCCGTGGCCATTTCCGTTTGAGAGACCCAGCCTGAGCCACAGGCGCATTTGGTGGAGGAATGCATACCCATTAGGGCGATCGAGCAGATTATTGACGAAGCGTGTACGCGAGAGTACACGAAGAAGCGTGTACGCGAGATTACATGCAAACCGCCACAATGCCCCTTCCCTACCTACTTCCAGAAAGTTGCCCCGATCCCGATGGGGCGAGAGATTTGAGCTGATAGAGGCCCGTCGTTGTTCGGGGCCTGACCACCTCCACCCTCCTCCTGCACCACCGGATTCACAGTGACTAGTCTAGTCACTGTGCCTGTACGTTTGTATCTTTTCCCTTCTCTTTATTTTCGTTTTTTTTAACAACCATCAAATATTATAGAACCAAACAACAATATACAAATCGAGTGGCCAAAGGGCCACAAGTCCATGGGAAACCTAAGCTAGGCCTCCCTACCAAGACCAACAAGGTCTGAGAAAGAACACCAAAGAGAGAAACACAAAGCTACAAACTAAGACAAGGGAAAGAAAAAACAACCAACCAAACACAAAAACCAGAAGAAAAACAGAAACAACCAGCCAAGATACAACCCACAGAACCAAAGACACTCCAAGCAGAAATCCAAACTAAATAAAAACATCAGACAAATTAGGGAAGGAGATAGATTGAAACTCCAAAGACAAAGAATGGATGTCCATAGCCAGAATGTCCAGATGCCAGGCAAAAGGCATCTGCTTAGCAAGCTTGCATCTCAGAGCCTCATCCTTTATAAAGATCTCTGCTTTGGGCCAATGTTTGTCCACTCTCTGTGAAAGCCACTGTCTGATTTGAACTAAGGAGTCCTCAGTCTGTCAAGGTGCTACAAGATTCTTGTAGACAAACCAGTGTATCCTCCCAGCATCCCTCTTGGAGTAGCAATGCCTCTGATCTTCCAGGTAGTGAGACAGGTAGCACTAGCACTGAGATCAATAGAATGAACCCCTACTCCCTGCTTCTTGCTCTCCTCCCTAAGAAGGTCATTAGCTGCTTCAAATTCCAATCACTCCCTTCTGGCTCCTTTAACTACCATCAACTCAGACATATGCTCTTTGTTGAATATCCAAGATTTCCTTGTTCTCCACAACCACCATAGGAGGTATGTGGAGAGAGATACTGTCTTTGTTAGCAGCAGAGTCAGAAAGATTACACAAGTCTTCCCACCAATCTCTAAAGCACATGTTGTCAGACGGCATCTTCTGCCACCAGATACAAGCTAGCTTCCACACCAATTTAGCTCTTGGGCACAGAAAAAGCATGTGCTCCAGATTTTCCTCAGTTTCCCCACACCAACAGCACATCAAATCAACAATAGCTCCCCTTCTGTGCAGATTAGAGTTTGTGCCTAACCAATTATGCCAACACTTCCATAGAAAGTTTTTGATTTTTGGTTTGATAGGCAAGTGCCATGTTTTCCTTCATATGTTTTTCAAAGCTGACTCTCTGCCCCTACTTGTCACCACTTCCCCTGCAACAGATTTCCTTTTGTCTCTGATTGCTTTGTATGCTTCTTTGACTGAGAAGATGCCTTTTTTGTGAGTTTGCCAAATCAACTTGTCTGGATGCCCCCTTTGGCCGATGTGGAGTTTGAGAATTTGGGATGCAACAGAGGGGCTAAACAATTGCATAACCAACTCAGTGTTCCAAGATAGCCTATCAACAGCAAAGAGATCCGAGACTTTGGTAATCTGCTGCATAGCACCTGCAAAAACACAATCTGGGACAAAATGTGGGATGTTTGGATCCAAGAGGACCTCCAAACATCAATTGAGCCCCTATTTCCCACATGAAATCTCAACCCTAACTTAAGAGAATTCCTAGCATCCAACCAACATTTACAAATCCAGGAATCAGAGTTTCTCTTAGAGATGTCCAAAAAATTCTTTTGAAAGAAATATTTACCCCTGAGGACTTGACTCATAAGACAGTTGGGTTTAGTAAGAACCCTCCAAATATGCTTAAGGATCAGAGCCTCATTGAAATCACCTATATCCCTGGACCCCAGCCCCCCCTCCCATCTATGCTTAGCTAAAGCCCCCCAGGTAGCCCAATGAATTCTGCCAGTGCCATTTTCAGTTTTGCCCCACCAAAACCCAACTATCTCCCTGCAAATTTCTTGACAAACTCCCACAGGCAATCTGAAAACTGACATAACATACACTGGGAGAGCACTAAGAGTGGTTTTAATGAGAATTTTTCTTTGACTGCCTCATTGAGAAACTTGTTTTTCCAGCTAAAAAATTTAGATTTCACACACTCTCTCACAAAATCAATAGTTTGCTTTTTATTTCTGTCTATACCTAAAGGGAGCCCCAAATATTCAGAGCTTCTAGCCAGAACAATGCCATGGAATATATGACAAATATCAGCTTTCAAAGTCTCAGGGATGTTAGCTGAGAAAAAGATATTAGATTTATGGAGATTTATAGCTTAACCAGAAACAGAGCAGTATCTATTCGAAATGCGAAAGAGAGTTTGAGCATGAAACAAATCTGCTTGACAAAATATGATAGCATCATCAGCAAAAAGCAAATGAGAAATACTAGGGGAGTGAGCACTGATTTTTAACCCCTAGAAATTGGAATTTAGGCAAGCCTGATGCAACAAGTTTGAAAGAGCTTCAGATAGAATGATGAAAAGGTAGGGGGACAGAGGGTCCCCTGCCTAATACCTCTAAAGGGAACAACACTACCAAGAACCTGACCTGCAATGTTAAAAGAAAATGAAGTGGTACTGAGGCAAGTCCAGATCCATTTCAGAAAAACATCATGAAACCCCATATTCCTACAAACCTGAAGAAGGAAAGACCACTCAACCCTATCAAAGGCTTTAGCCATATCAATTTTTAGGGCCATGTATCCTTTTTTACCTTTTCTTTTACTGTTAAAAAAATGATTACATTCATTGGCCAGGACAACATTATCAAGGATTTGCCTGTTAGGCACAAAAGCAGCTTGAAAATGAGATATACAAACATGCAAGACACTCTTGAGCCTATTAGAAAGGATTTTGGCAATAATTCTATAAGTCACAGTACAAAGGCTGATTGGTCTAAAATCAGAGACCAGTTGGGGGTTCTTAATTTTAGGAATGAGGGTGATAACAGTATGTTTGGTAGCTTTGGGGATCACAGAAGCAGAAAAAAAATTCTTATCAGCACTACAAAGATCAGGTTTGATTAAATCCCAAGAAGATTGAAAAAAAGCAGGAGAGAAACCATCAATACCTGAGGCTTTGCTAGGTTCCATGTCCCATAGAGCAGCTTTGATCTCCTGCTCATCCATAGTTCTAGTGAGTTTGAGATTCATAGCAGCAGTAATGAAAGCAGGAATACCATTGAGCACATCTTCCACAAAAACAGGGTTTGTTCTCTGATTGAAACATTTTCTGAAAATAATCTGATATGACCTCAACAGTTTCACTTTTGCTTTTACACTTTACCCCTCTGTTGTTCAGGAGATTATCTACCGCATTATTCTCTCTTCTCTGCTTAACACATGCTTGGAAGAATCTGGTGTTTCTATCACCTCTTGAAGCCATTTGATTCTAGCTTTAGATTTCCAGTACAACTCTTCTTCTATATAAGCCTGTTGCAATCTTTGCTTACACTGGGACCACTGCTCCCAATCTCTGTTCCCTCATTGCAGCCCCAACATCTCGAGCTGAGAATTGCATCTCTGAATAACTTTAGAGGATTTGGTTTGCTGGCTAGCTAACCACCCTAAAAGACTCAATTTGACATGTCTGAGCTTCTGTTGGAAGCAATATAAGCCTCTACCATTAACATGGAGCCCCCAAGCCATGGAAACACAGTTCTTAAAACCCTCCCAGTTGGCCCATCTATTATCAAAACAAAACCTCTTTCTATTTTTCTGATCCTCATTCTCAGTTTGCATCAGAAGAAGACAATGATCATATGATATCATAGGGAAATGAAGCACTGAGGATTTGTGGAATTTGAGCAACCAGTCAGGAGAGAACAAGAGCCTATCAAGCTTCTCCTCGACAAAATCTTGCCCTTGTCTACCATGAGACCATGTATATGGGTATCCCACCACAGGACATTCATACACACCCAGGTTTTGAACAAAATTCCTAAAACTAAGAAAACTGCCTTCATTTCTAAGAACACCCCCATGCTTTTCCCCATTATTCAAGATGGCATTGAAGTCACCACTTAGAAACCACACATCCCCCCAAGAGGATTGGGAATTGGGCAAAAAGTCCCATTGAGATTGTCTCTCTGTGGGAAAAACACTAGCATAGATGAAGATAGCCCAAAGCTTATCAACATCATTGCCCCAACTAAACAAACCTGAAAGCAAAAGTTATTACTGATAATATCATATATCTTAATATTATTGGACCATCCTAACAAAAGACCCCCCTTTTACCCTGAGGCACTACATAATCCCATGTATTAATAAAGGGCAGGTTCCTACACACAGTTTGAACAAAAGAATTTGTCTTTTTAACTTCAGAAAGGAAGACAAAATCAGGGAGGTATGATTTAATTTTATCCTTCAACTGGGGAATTATAGAGGGTCCTTCCAGACCTCTACAATCCCACACCAGGACTCTCATTTATCACTTTGGGACCAGTTATGGCTGGTTTCCTCCATCTTTTTATCAAAGAGATCTGAATTTTTCTTTTGTTTTTTTCAAAACAGAGACAGAATACACAGGGATAGAGAGAGTGTCCTCCCCTGATTTTCTTTTCAGACTGTGATTCACAGAGGAATCACCAGGATAATCACCAGGGTGAATACTCTTAAGAGAATGTTGAGTGATCACTTTGCTTCTGGTGATTCTGGTAAAAGAGAGTTTAGGCTTTTTACTGGAAGAAGTGACAAAACTTTGGGCTATAGGAACATTAACCAGATTGCCCAGGTCTAGGTCTTGGTTTTTTGCCATATCTAGATCCATAGACTCAATATGTGCTTCCTTTTCCTTTGGGGATTCAGCACAAACCTGGGGGTTATCAGCATTTTTAATTATTGCTAAGTTACTAACCTCTACAATGCTCTGGCTAGGATTATCCTCCACTAAGTCTAGAAGGTTCTGTTCACTGCCTGTACCCTCTTGATTCTCAAGGTCATTGGGTTCTTCTGCAGTGGTACCACAAAATTTATCTTTACTAGACTCAGAGTTAGGGTTTCTATTAGCACCACTAGAAGATTTTTTATCTATAGCAATGTTATGGGAGAAGAAGGGGCATCTCAGCCATTCCCCAAATTGACCAGTTCTAAATTTTTTCCCCAAGATATCATCTTTTTTGAAAGAACAGGTCCTTTCATTATGGCCTATTCGCCCACAGTAGAAACAAAATGTGAGAAGATTCTCATACCTAAAATCAATCCAATGCGCTTCAGGCCCTAGTCTTAGAATGGTACCTCTGGGGATGGGCTCAAGCAGGTTGATAGATGCTAGGATCCTGACCACATTACCATTGAGAAAGTTGTTTCCTGAATTTGGGATAATAACATCCTTGATAGAGTCAAAGACATTCCCTGCCTTAACTCCAGTCTCAGTTGATATCCAATGAAGTGTAAGATTGTGGATTTGAACCCACAGGTCAACTAGCAATTCTTCTTTCTTGAACTCTGTTTCCCCCTTTTTCCATTCTTTGAGCAGGAGATATTGCCCATCAAATGACCACACCCTGCCATTTAGAATTCTGGATTTGTCCTCCTCTAGCTGAAAGATGAGTTGAAAATGATAGTCCTTTAACGGTCTCACAGAGAAAGGCTTTTCCGTACGCCATATGACATTAATCGTCGATTTTAACCCAACAAGCTTGATCTTTTTTTTTTCACCGACTATCTTCCCAATCAAGCTCAGCATACACTCTACAATCCTGGCTCAACATCTTGGGTGTGCAAGGAAACTCCACCCTTTTCCTTCTCCGATAGATCAAATTTACTCATAATAACTGATATATCCAGCTCCGTATCAACCACAGAACTCAAACTCACTAGAAACATCAGACAAATAGGAGGCCACCTGCACAAGGGAGAAGAAAAGAAAAAATTAAGCAATAGACACACTAGCAAGAAACCCTAGAAAAACAGACTTGGAAGAAACAATAGAAAACCCTAGGCAACCCAAAAAACAACGAAGAAAGGAAGAACGAACACAAGAGAGATGGAAGAGGAGAAAAAAGGTCAAAGAAAAAGGGAAAAAGATGGATTAAGCTGATAAAGTCACTCCACAACAATGGAACTGGAAAATCTCTAGAGAGAGAACGGGCATCCCCACAAAGTTTTGCTTTAATTTTTTTTGTCTTGGTTTTTCTGTTGGTTGATTATATGAGTTAACTTCCCTTGCATTCAAGATCGAAAATGTAGACATTGTTCGGTTTTAAGTGTGGGGGAGTTTTTACATGATTATGTGCTTATATGGTTGATCAGGTCTAGGTCTTTTAAAATGTTTTCATTTTTTTTTGTTTTGTTTGAGTGTCTTGTCTTGAGTCAGTTTGTGTGTATTTGAGTATGGATTGTGGTGAATTTTAAGATTTTTTGATAATTGTTGATGATGTTGAGGAGATGTGATGATGATCATGACCAGTATACTTTGATGAACTTTATGTTTCGTTTTGTTGGACATTTATTTATTTTATGAGAGGTTTGAGCCTTATTTTGTTTCTCGAGAGATATTGGTCGGTTTTGTGTTGATCAGAACTTGCTATGAGTCTATTTTGAAATGAATTTATTGAAGTAGTGAATTGTGAAAATGATTGAGGCATTTCTTTGACATTGCTCGTTTTAGCCTTTTTCACTGTCCCTTAAAGTTATATGTTCATTAGTAGCCCGTTTAGCCTGAAAACGTATTTCTTGTCATCCGATTCAATTGATTATGTTGAGACTTGACAGTATACTTGATATGATGACGGAGTTTTACTGATATGTGCGTGGAGAAGGTTATAACTTATTTGAGTTGCATTTGAGTGCTCGACTAAAAAAAATAAAAAAAAAAAAGTACAAAAAAAATAAAAATTTCTAAAAAAATGGGAACTCGCAAGACGGACTAAAAGGATTCTACTCCGCTTACTTGTGGAATTTTTCATGAGTGATGAGTATTGGGAAACCATTCTAGGAAACTTGGATGACCTCCAATGTTTAAACCTAAAAAATGTTGTCCTTACGTCTCAGTTTTGTTAGGAAAAAGCAACCTCCCTAAATAATATACAAAAAAAGAGAGAAAAAGTTGAGTACTTAATTTGCATTTCAACTTGAGCGTGTGTGAGTGTTGTATGGTGTTCTTGATGGGAATGGTTAGTTTCATGTTGATGTTGGATTACTGGTGAGGTGTTCGAGTTATTTATGTGCTCGAGAATTGATTGTTTATTTGAGCCACTTATTCTTTATACTTTTTCTTCCTTTGATGCCTACAATGCCACTCTGAAAGTCCTCTTGATTTATAGTTCATGATCATTGGTTGTTTTAGAGTATGAATAGACGATAAGCAAGCTTATGCTGATGCATGATGATTGACCAATTTGAGAGTCCCAGTTTTATATTCACGAAAGAAACCGAGTGAGGTATATTTATATTATATTTCCGTGCCCGAGAATTGTCTTTTCAAAATGTTGCATTCAAGTGTAATTGGGGTATGCATGATTGGTCATTGGAAGTTTCCTCGGCTAAGTTGATTAATTTGAGACTTGTCTTATCTGAAACTATTATCCATGCTCGTTTGCTTGTTTTCGTGTCTTTTCTTTTCTTTTTGTTCAGGACGAATAAAGGTTTTAGTGTGGGAGAGTTGTTTGTCTCATTTCTGTTGCATTTTTTCTTGTTATTTTTCCTTTCTTTTTCCCTCATATATTAGTTCTTTTGGTTATGTTCAGTTAATTTTGTCGGTTATTGCGTGCTTCTCTTTATTTTGCTTTTCTAGGTATTTTTCGTGTGTTTTTCCAGTTTTTCTCGTCTTTGGTGTGCAGGTTGAAAGAGTCGCGAGGATCCAATTTTCACGATTAATCGGTTGGGTGAAAATAATTAGATAGAGTGTTTCGTTGGCTACATTCAAAGGAAAATGAAACCAAATTCGGAGGTCGGATGAGCTCGAACGGACACAATACGCAAAATAACGCATTGAGGCCTGAGTGCCCAGGCTTCGCGCCGCGACCACGCCACGTCTCGGACATAATCTCCCAGGCCCCAGCTCCGCACCGCGCCGGAGTGCCGCGCCGTGAAGACCCCATCTGTCGTGCCGCGTTGGTGTCGCGAGATGGACAGAAGCTCCCAAGCCCCAGCTCCACGCCGCGTTCAGTACCACGCCGTGAAGGTCCTCTCCGCCAAGCTGCGAAGAAGCCCACCATCGTGTTGCCACCTCCTGCCGCGCCGCGAGTGCCTGCCGCACCGCGAGTGCCTACCGCGCCGCGTGACCTGTTGCACGCTACACCAAGGACGCCCAGCTCCGCACCGCTGCATGACACCACGCTGTGAAGAGAGATCTTGTCGCGCCGCGATGCATCCACCTAGCGCACCTGTGACACTTCCCCGCGCCGTGGTTCGCTTCCCATATAAATACAAGACTAGATCGCAGCTTTCGGGTTATCATTCTTGCGACGCGACAAAAACACCGAAACCTTATCTCTCATATATTCATTCATTTTTTTATCGTACTTTCATAATTTCCACCATAGAATAAGGATTTACATTTAGATTTTGCTATTTCTCTTGGATTCAAACTTGTTTATCGGATTAAACGTTGGGATTTATCAATCGTAAGATTCTCTTATAAATTTAATCGTTAAATATAAGTTCTTGGGTTGAGATTGCTTGTGTTGATCATTCGAATATGAGTAGCTAAATTCATACGCTAGGGAATAGGAGATTGATGTTTTGAATTCATTTGTGATTATCGGGATTAAGATTGTTTATTTTGTAAGAGTTAATCTTATTAGGGTTTTCGGTCATTGTTCTTGAGTTTTGAGAATCGTTGAAGAGTGACACTTCAACTTCCAATTGTTTCAATTGAATTTGATTAATTTGTGCATGATGGTAGGATTTCTAAACGGACTAGTTGATTAATCACCCTCTAGTTCAATTTAATCGACTCTTAGAACCGAAAGGGGAGGAGTTGGTCGAAATAGGCTCGTACAAACTAGGCTTGTTCGTAATTGTATTGCCTAGGTGTTAAATGACTTCTTAACTTGTCGTTTAAGTTTGTTCTCTTGTTACGAAAAGTTATTGAGAATGAGTACTTGAACGTGCCGTTTAGTCAAATCACTTAACCGAACAATCTCTTGCTTGATAATTGCATTCTGAACCAAAACGGATATCCCCAACTCCCTAGCTTCTCAAATCCTATTTTTTCTACGTGTTCGCTTGCTATTTACTTGCTTTATTTAAATTCTCGTAGTACTTGTCGATTAAAAATCAAAACCATATCTGAATTAGCATGTTTAGGAATTTTACTTCTTTTATTTTTCTTTTTTGTGTTTGAGTAAACATACAAAATATTCCAGCTAGCCTTCCTCAAGAGACACGACCCGGTGTCGAATCTTTCGATTCTACTCCGGTAAAAATACTTACAACAGAAATCCATGTGAAAAATCAGGTAATGAATTCCCGTGAAGTTCAGATAAGACTTGAACTATAATAATGCCCATGTAATTTTTTTTTTTCCAAAACGACAGGGATAATTGTTAATAAAAACAATAGCATACAACATTCAAATACAAAGATACAACCCAACTAAAGAGAAACATGAGAGACACGCCAAAGACGGTCTACAACCTCAACTGAAAACGCAAAGCCTTACTAAGCTACAAAACAAACCAAAGGTAAAAGACTTCCAACCACTCATAAGCCTAGCCAGAAGAACTAATACCAGGAAAAACAAAATCAAAAAGCCAAGAGAAACGAAAAAGCCAAAGCCAGAACAAACTAAAGCTAAGAAACAACAACAATATACTCCAACTAGTCCAAATGAGCCATCTTTACTAAAACATGCTCAGGGATCATATCTTTTGAAAAATCCAAATATTCCTGGACTTCCAAAGCCACCAAAGAAAATACGTAGAGAGTTGTATGCGAGCTTCAGCCACCTCAGAGAAATCCAGTGAACAAATTTGATACCACCAGTCAGGAAAATGATCTGTCCTTCCCTTGATGCCATCCCATTGAACAGGGAAAAGGTCCCAACATCTCCTAGCTCTTGCACAATTTAAGAGCAGATGCTCTAAAGTTTCTTGTCCTTCCCCACACATAGCACATGTAGTATCCAGAAACATGCCTTTTTTCAAAAGCAGCACAACCACTGGAAGTGATTTGTTAAGGCATTTCCAAAGAAATAATTTGATCTTACATGCAATCTTGAGTTTCCAGTATCTGAGTTTAGTTCCCTGCTTGATTGAAGTTGCATTGCTGCTTTCAGGGAGATTTGCTTGCAAGAGTTTTGAGTCTGACAGGTACTTGTAAGTACTGGATACAGTGAACTTGCCTTTCTTTTCCAACCCCCAGTACATTCTGTCACTTCTGTTAGCATGAAGGGTGTTGATACTCAAGATTGCTTTGCTGTCATTTTCATCAAATACTTGATTCACCAACCACTCATTCTACTGTTTGCCACTGGATTGCAGCAAGTCCTTAACCCATACAAGATAACCTCTAGCAATGAGGATTAAAGAAGGTGCTGGCTTTGAAAGGATAGGAACCCAATTGAAATCTTCAATTCTGGTGTTAAGGCCATTCCTGATCTCAATTTTCAGCCATTTAGCAAAAATAGGCAGTATTTCCATCCAGCTATTCCACATCCAAGAGCCCCCTTGGATTTTTTGAGCATGAACAATGGAGGAGTGAGGAAAATACCTATCTTTGAGAAGTTTTCTCACAAGAAGA